TTATAGTCATTAAACTCTCACACGTTCTGTAAACCTCCTCCTTCGCTTCCTTGGCGTGTATTTTCTGTTCACCCATGGCAGTCTTTATCACATCCACCTCTCGCTGGGTAAACTGCAGACTCGTTTTTATCTCCTGTATTTCTCTGGTCATTTCATCGAATCTCCTGTTGTTTGTCTCCATAATTAGTTGCACAAAGCCTTTGAAGCCCTCCTGCTGTTGGTTCAGCATCGTAATGAACATCTGTTTCTCATGATCCATGATGTCCTTTACTTGCGCCGCTCTGTGACACGTTTCTTCTGCCTCCATATCCTCCGTTGCTTCTGATTTATTAGCTCTTTTCCCTCTTTGAGGCATTTTAGTCGTTGTAAAGTATTCTCAAAGACTTGAAATATAGAACAGACAAGAGGAGCAGTAAAGACGTCTGCTCTCGCTTGCAACCCGGAAAGGTTTAAGTCTTGGGTTTTACCACAGTATCAACAAAGAACTTTGTCTGAAAGGCGACTCCATGCCATGTGAATGGCAGCTGTCACTCTCCTTGATGATGGTATCTGTTTATTTTGAGTCTCACTAGAGCCTCTAGGCTAAAAAGACACTAGGTTGAGGAGCTTGAAGCCATGGCGGTACTAGCATCCTTGCGCTGGCTCCCTGCCACATACTGGACTGAGGTTCTTGTATTTGTTTCCTAACGCCCTACATGGTTTGGCAGCTCAGGACACTTCTGAACTTTGCTGCTCCTACTCCTGTTCTAGGCCTGTCAGATCGGTTGCTGCCTTTGCTGTAGCTGTCACAAAGCTTTGGTCTTTTACTTCCCCTCTTTGTTGATACTGTGGTAAAGCCCAAGACTTAAATGTTTTCAAAGCCTTTGGTTATAGTACTCACTAAAATCTTTCATTCATTCATTTATTTTACATCCTTTGGTTCTGTACTGCATTTTATATTTGTGTATATACTTTGATGTTGTTTCTTATTGCCTCACACAGTTTTATTTACACCTTTGTGCCTTTTTTTGTGGTTTGTGCAGCACTTCGGTCGACTCCAGTGGTGTTTAAGTGTCAAATCTTGACTCGACTCTGCTAGCTGTGTGCATGGTGACAGTTAGCTTGTAGCACTTACCATGTCACGTTCAAATATTTGCCATGCTAGCATGCGATGCAGCTGTGGATGTGTGGTGTTAGTAGCCAGGTGGTTGTCACCAATTATCCAAACCACATATTATGATAAGTGTTAGGCTGTTGACTGAGCTGGTGGCATCTCCACTCTTTGGTTTTGTATGTAATTTAGGTAAATTCAGCTGCCCATGTTAAGGCCTCTTTATATAGAAAGTCTGACAGGTCTGTGGGTCTCTGCTTTTCACACTGTTTATTTCCATTCACAGGCTGAACCATGTGGGAGACTGGGGCACCCAGTTTGGGATGCTGATCGCCCATCTTCAGGATAAATTTCCAAACTACCTGACTGTCTCCCCGCCCATCGGAGACCTGCAGGCCTTCTACAAAGTCAGTTGATAATCCATCTGTTTTTCACTGTTGCTCAGTGTCTGAATCAATAGAGATGCTGAATCTTTAGCAAAATATGTGAAACAACACATAGATGTCCTCTAGCACGGTATAGTAACAGCTGTGAATCAAAACCTGCCAACGGATTAGGGTTATTTACATCTGCCATCATCTACTGCTCCTTCTGTCTTTCCTCTTTTTCCACCTCCTCCTCCTCACATCTCCTGCTCCTCCGTCAGGAGTCAAAGAAGCGATTTGATGAGGAGGAGGACTTTAAGAAACGAGCGTACCAGTGTGTCGTCAGACTGCAGAGCAAAGAACCGGAGTTCATCAAAGCCTGGAATCTCATCTGTGACGTCTCCAGAAGAGGTAGACTGTCTGTCTGACATTAAAGTAAAGCGATGGGCTACAGAGGAGCCCCACAGTCAACTCATACAGAACTGTTTACAACTATATTTAGCGGCTTTGGGCCCGTTTTTAAAGGCTTGTTAAACATTTTGCATCATATTAAAGAAACGGTTTCATCATAGAAGTCAAAACACTCAGTTTTACATTTTGACAGTTGAGTTCCATCAATAATATGCTTATAATGGTACTTTTTTTCTTTACTGTGGATTTTTCAAATTTGTCTAAAAACTATAGATTTAATAGATGGTGTTTTCTTTTCCACTTTTGTTTGAATGTGTATGTATCAGAGTTTCAGAGGGTTTACAACTGCTTGGACATTCGGATCATCGAGAGAGGAGAGTCGTACTACCAGGACATGATGACTGAGGTGGTGAAGGAGTTTGAGGAGAAAGGTCAGTGTGTAGCAGGTCAAAGGTCACATTTTTAGTGGTCTTTTCTCAGAGGAATGTCAGAAATGTTTGATTTTCTTTCTCGTGATTCATCTTTGATTCACAATAGAATTAGATTTTTGTGGGTCCTTTTTTTTTTTTCCAAAGCAATAAAAACCAAGAAACCTGTGTCTGTGTGATATCTACTCTGTGTGTTTTGGTACGAAAAGTTTTTTGAAGCCTTTTATACCAGAAACAAAGTCCTCAATGTTTGTCATTCTTTGTAGTCTGCAGTTACATGATACCACCACTAGGAGGCAATGGTGTCTCATAAATATCTTCTGTCAAAGCCTAATTCTTCTTCCTGCTTTCTCGAGCTTCTTTTTTGTCTAATTTCCTTTTTACTCTGTTTCCTCTGTGTCAGCACTTCATTTTCAGTTCTCATTATGTCCAGTCGTTCCCGTATTATTAGTCTCTCTATTAATGTTTGTTTTTGACATTTTCCTTTATTTCAGTTCTGTCCCTCTCTCTTCCTTCTCTCCTGCATACCTTCCTCATCCATTTCTTCCTCATCTTTTCCCATCCCTCTCCTCAGGCCTGATAGAGCTGGACGAGGGTCGTAAGATTGTGTTTGCCCCGGGTCAGTCCATCCCCCTCACCATTGTCAAGTCGGACGGTGGATACACCTACGACACGTCGGACCTCGCAGCCCTGCGGCAGCGAATCTTTGAGGAGAAAGCTGACATCATCATCTATGTCACGGACAGCGGACAGGTGGGTGGAGCGACATGATAGGGAAATGTGCATGTAGCAGTTCAGACAGAAGGGTAATGACAGCGAGGACAAACGCAGGGCAGGGAGCTGTAGGACCACTTGTTTCCCAGCAGCTTCAGCCCTGTCGATCCTGAACTGTAACTACAAGACCCAGAAACCTCCTGTTGTTTCATCTGTGAAGAAGGAAATCTCTTGACTGTGGTAGCAGGACAGCTGATTAGCATCTCAGTACATTGTTTTAGGTATAAAATGTATCTTTAACTTCATTAAACCACAGGCAGAGCTTTTGTTTTTCCAGAAAAACACAACCTTAAATCTAGAGTAGAGATGAGTCACCGTCTGGGTTCCCATCATCCAGACTAATGCTCAAAAATGAATGACTTTAATTAGTCTCTCTGAGAGTCATCGTTTCCTACATAACTTGTTTAAAGAAGTCATCATCTACCCCAGATAACAGGATAGACGTTACAGTGTTATATGGATTATTATGAAGGCAGGCAGGAGGAGGAGGAGAGCGATGGGCTCACTGTCTGCAGTCTGACTGAAACTAAAGCTGTCATCTGAGGAAACTTAATTTACCAAAAGCAATACGAGGCAACCTGTCAGAAACATTACTGAGGTGACAGCATCTTAAATGTGTTGCCAAAGGACAGAAGAAAAGGAGTGACAGGCTGTTTCCTGTTGCTGCTGTGGACTCAGTTTCCACTGAGACATCTACAAGAGTCTGCAGGAACATTCGTGGTGCCCAGAGGATTTGGTTGATCCACTGATTGTTTCTCTAGCACAGTCATGAGTTTGACATTTGTAGTTTTGAGTGAAATGTTTTAATGCCATTGGGTGGGTTCAGTCTGGAGACGTCTGGAGCTGATTCTAAAGATAATGTCGAGGTCGATTCTGGCATATTTTAATGCATCAAACAAAGCTGATCAAAAACTGATCTTACTTTACTTTTACTCTGCTTCTGCGGTTCTTAACCTGTGGGTTTCTGTTTGTCTCTGGAGTGATGCTCACACGCAGCGGAGTGGACTATTTTGATTGATCACAATGCCCATTAATCACACTTGCAGCAAAATTCCCTCACAGTTCTCACAGGGACTGGGTATCAGCAGATTTCCAGTCAGCACATCCATAGTTTACATTTTTGGATTCGATGTTACTGTCAAGAGCGCACAGACGATAATGTGTTGATAGTTGACTGGTGTGCACATGTGTGACGCTGCAGCTGGTCAGAATTCAGTTTTTCTTCCAGGCATCAGCTTTAAAGGGGGAGGCTTCTTTTAGTCTACATGCAGATAATGATATTTGGGTTATATGTTCTTTTCTCCTTCAGGCCACACACTTCCAAGTGGTGTTTGCTGCAGCTCAGATGATTGGCTGGTACGACCCCCAGGTGACCCGGGTGGAGCACGCAGGTTTTGGAGTGGTGCTGGGGGAGGACAAGTGAGTTTAAAACGCGCAGTGCTGACTGTTGCTCACCGTCTGGTTTGTGACTTGTGTCAGTGCTGCAAATGTGGTTTCACCTCTGAAAACCAGATAGGATCGCCAGAGTTTTGTCTGAAAACCAACTACACCTGGCTGCTGGCTAAAAGGTTCAGAACATTATGAACAAATTTGCAAACGTGACATTTTAGATTCAAAATGAAGTAAGTTCCTTATTGATGAGTGGGTCCCCATTATACTACCCCCTCATGTCCATCCATCATGTTCTCGTGAACACGACATCTTGTGAACGCGTCATCTTGCACACAACATATTCTGGCAACACTGAAAGTAATCTTTTGGGGGTTTACAAGAAAACTCTGCAAGACCCCTTCAAGTATAAGGCTAGAGCCAGGGGATGGTTAGCTTAGCATAAAGATTGGAGACAGCTAGTCTTTGTCCAGAGGTAAAAAGTTATGCCCACCAACACTTCTAAAGCTCACTAACACATTTCTTTCAAGTGTTCAAAAACCAAAGTGTAAAAAAACTACAAATTGAGGTTTGTATTTATTTATGTGTTGGACCTGTTTCTTGAACGGCTGCGACGATTTCCTGGGGTCTTTTACTTTTTGACCTTCACAGGTTTTGGTAAGTGCATTTTCATGCAATGGAAAAAGTTAGGCTAACAGTTTCCATTCGCTTCGAGTCTTTATGCTAAGCTAATTGTCACAGCATTCTAAAGTAAAGCCGACCTTATGGAATCTGTAGTGCATAACATGTTTCTAGAGCTGTGCATATTCAAGAGTTAATATAGAGGCTCTCTGTGCTGAAGCACTCTGCTCTGTTGAGGCTTGGGTGTTAAAGTAGTGTTGTGGCCTTGCACAGACTAAAAGCAGACTCCAAATCACCATCATCAGAGCTGCAACAAAGACAAGTGGCTTCTCTCCACCACCCCACAATAATCTTCTGTGTCCTTCGCTGTAGCTTTATCACCTCGGCTTCAGGTTTTATTACATTTATTATCAGACATAAAAAGTGAATTTTTACTGCACGACTGCATTAACAGATAAAAACAATAGCTTCATCTGCTGATCCACAAACAGAGGAGTCGGAGTTTGAACTGCGAACACAAGTATACAGAGCTGCTGTTACTCAGCACGTGAGGAGGTGAAGGACACAGAAAAGTTCTGCAGCAGCCAGACAACAGTAATTAAATGTTGGACGACAACAACATTAGTCTGAGAAATCTTTTCAGCATGGACAGTGTGTTTTCAGAAGATCAGTTTCTGATGCATCCCTAAAAACTGAGCGATGATTTTTGGGGAACCTGTTGTGTCAGTGCACAGATTTGTTCCCGTCTAAAACAGCGTAGCGCTGACACAAATGTCCAAGAAGCTGTGTGAAGACAAGACTCTTATTTTGTTGTCTGACAGGTTTTTTTAATAGTCTGGGCACATCCAGTGGAAAGTGTCGTCACATAGAGCACACTGGGGGGTAAACCACATCCCAAATTAGTAATAAAAGTTTAGAGGGCATGGTATCAGCTGCACTAGGAGGGTTTCAAGTGAATGTCAACTAGTTTGCCAGCAGACATTGGGTGCAAATGAGATGACCAGCGTCTATGGAGGAAAGAGAAGTGGAAATATTGGACTACTTTTGGAATACTGTCAGTTTTTTCTTTTTCAAATTCTTAAAAAAATAGAAACATTAACGCTCATCTTTAGATGAGGTTAAACCACTAACTTTGGTTGGTTTAAAAGGTGGTCAGTGGTATTGGAGTACCAAAGCTTTTTAGCAGTAATTTAAATCTTTCTACTCTTTGTTTTCTCAGCTACACCTTTTTCATCTTCCACCACGTCATCTTCTTTGTTTTTACATTTTCTCTTCATTCTCCTGTTCAGACAGGAAGCACCAGCTGCTGTAAGCAACAGCTTTTTTAAAAATGCTACAGAGATATAAACATTTTCAACTAGGACTTTTTATATTTTAGTACCAGTGTTGTCCCAGTCAATGCATTAGTACTTGTATAAAGACGTATCTCCCCCTGTGTGTTATTTATTTCCTCGTATAGTCAGCGGTGATTACTGTGTGGCTGATAGGTGAGCAGGCTCTATAATTTGAACACTATCTGTCACGCTGTTGTTTTTTCCTAATCAATCGTCCAGAGAAGAAGAGCTGAGTTCAGGAGGGGGATTGACGTCACGCTTCGCCGAGGCCATAACTAAGTGTGGCTAAACGCCCCACAGTAACCTGAGGGGGTGTAAATTGGCCCCATAATGTCTGTGCTACTCCAAACTCCATTAGAAATTTATCATGCTGTTTTCATAATCGCTCATCCAGACAATAAGGGCTTAACGCAGCCACGGGGGGAGCTGTTATAGCTGCAAGTAAAGAGGGAGAGGGGGGTGGGTTATAAAATTGTTGGCTCCTGTTCTGTTTGTAATGCTCATCTGGTTTGCTTGATTCTACAGAATGTGTTGATCCAAGGTGTCGACAAGCAGAAATAGCTTAATAGTTTGTTGTCATGATAATTACTGTCAACAAAGTCGACATTCTGTTGGTCAGCGTCCTCTCAGCACAGAAGCTCGGCTTGCACACTGAACTCTCGGGGCTTGTTTTTTTCTGCTTAGGAAGAAGTTTAAAACCCGGACTGGAGACACAGTGAGGCTGATGGACCTGCTGGAGGAGGGACTGAAGAGGTCCATGGACAAACTGAGGGAGAAGGAGAGAGACAAGGTGAGCAGTGAATCCCAGTTCCCCTAACTGCATCCACGTTTTCCTCACTTGCGTCTTTTCCTTGCGTCTTAGTCCTGCCCATGTGACAAACTGTGAGGAGAGAGGAACCGAGGAAACACGTTTTTACTGTAACTGACATGAGGCGTCCTTTCTTCCATTTCTTACATGAAGTATCAAGTAACAAACTGGTTTCCAATAAAGGAGTGTGTCAGTCCGTAACTCGTGTGTCCTTGGTTATAGCTCCACCTTCATCATGGTGGACCTGGAACGACTTCCAGGTTGATCGAGGAATGTTAAAATAAGGAAATTGAGATTCACCTATAGTCTTCATTTCTTTGGAAATACGGGCAGCAGTTTGAGAACATTAAGCCGAAGAGAAGCCGTCTCTTTCTTTGTTCTCTGTCTCTTTTTATCTTTAAGTATCTCCTGTCGTGTCCTGAATGCTGCTGATATATAAGACTATAACTTTTTTGTTGTATTTATGGGCGCCATTATTTGCAGAAATGAAAATCCAAAGAAATTGACTTCTGCTGTGGGGCATATTTCTGTCTCATAAAGCTGAAAGCAAAAGGTGAATTTAATAAAGGCAAAGAGGAGCTGAATGTGGGGAGCAGCGGGCATCTGGACCACACAATAGAGAAATACCTGTTTAAAGGGTCATTTCAACCTAACTAAACATATTTTAACACAGTTTTGTCTGAGTTCTGCCTCCAGCCCAATACAGTTGGGCACAATTCATTTGTAATGGTCACTAACTTTTTGGCACAAACTGCCCTGTGTTCCAGCCCGCTGGACTCATTACTGGCCAAATCTTGCAAATGCCTTTAGTTTGTGTTAGAATCATTTTGCATCCATACTTTGTGTCAAATGTTTAAACTTCGATAAGCAGCAGTTTAGTAAGAGGGAAACTGTCCGGTGAACAGCTCATTATTTCTACTTTCGATTCACCCTGACGAAGCTTATTTTCCACTAATGACCGTCTCAGTCTACAGGAGCCTTTAATTCTTCTTGCTCTTGTCCAGCGCGACTCGAGCCAAACCCTGGAGCTTTCTGATCACATCCAGAAGCAACCGCGACTGAAGCAGGAAACACCGCCACCAGACGTTTTTCTTCTTGTCTGCTTGGCCCTGAGGACATCCCGACTGTGTGCGCTCTCCCTCAAATATGCACTCGCGTTTACTCTTTTCTTCCATCTTTTCATCATCACTAGAAAAGCACAGCTCGACACCACGTCCTGTCCTGCTGTCACTTATCAGGCGGTGTGGAGAATCTGAGTTAATTCACTTTTAAATGTGCAGTTTCCATAGACTTTAACAGCAGAGACTCGACAGCGAAGGTTATAGAAACTTGTGAACACTCCATAGAAGAATATGTTGCCTGTTGTTGCTGAGGAGTTTCAGCTCAAATTTCCTTTAAGCCTCAGATCATTTCTTCTTCAGACATTTAGCTTATTAAATGACCTTTCACAAACTTTTGCTTGTTTGAGATTTCACCACAGTCGCCGCCTCTGTAGCATTTCTTCTTTGACAGCTTGTATTTTCCCAGCAGATGCTGCTACAACACAAACTCACTGACTCATGTGCAGCTCTGCTCGACCTTGTTAAACGAGGTTTTCTGTTCAGGAATGAGAAACGTTGTCTTTCACTTCCTGGCATCATTGTTCCAGATTTCACCTAGAACGTGTGTTCAAGCCCAAAACTACGGTTGGCTGTTGTTTCCCCTTCACACAGCAAAGCGAAGAGGAGCTGTGTTTGATCAGTGTTAATTTGACTGTATCTCTTTGTATCTGACATAAACCTTCGTGGAGATAAACAGAACAGACCCTGACCTGGTTAGGTATTATCTGCAGCACTAGGTGCAGTGTAAAGAGTGAGTGACTTCCAGTTGAACTGCAATGATTTTAATGCTGAGAAGGTTGTGGGAAACTGGTGCCAGCACGGTTTCCCTGCAGGCCCTTCTGGCCTGGCACTCTGCTCTGCAGCTGGGTCGTTGCCCACGTCTACCATCTGCTAACCCTGCCTCATTAAGACAAACCCCAGCCCTGGCCTCTAAGATATTTCCCCAGTTGTGTTGTATCAAAGTCTCTTCTGTGTTTTTTGTTTTAGTTTTTGTGTGTGCATGTCTTTCATGTCCTGTTCCTGCATTGTCCTGGTTTTCCCTGTCCTGCTGTGTGTGTCCTGAATTCTTAGCTCTCCTCTGTCTGTCCTCCTCTGTCTGTCACCATCTGTCCTGTCCTGCTGTGGCTGTAACGATCAGTCAGGTGATCGGTCAGGCAGATTTTTTTTTTTTTGGAAAATTGATCTATTTAAGTTAATCAAAATTGAAATGCACTGTCTGGTTCTTTCATGCCTAGTTTAGCTTTTTTTTTTTCTTTTCTCAATATGACACTAGATTGAATGTTTTCTGAAGGCCTCTGGGAACTTGTGCTTTTTTCCTGACCTGACTATTCAAGGAAAAAAATAATAAAGCTGCAGCATAACTTTAAGTTATTTGAAGTATTGTTTGCGTTGTTCCCAAACTACTTCTCTCATGCTCACCTATGGCAGCTGACTCTTAAATTTATCTGATTATTAGCAAATGTTGCTAATAGTGGAGAAACTGGTGAAGGGAGGAGCTATATGTTACGAAGACGTTTGTTTTTGCACATTTCTCATTGGTTTCTGCTGTGCATGTGAAAAAATGGCTGTTTAGCATTTCTAAAGGGTATTTAAACATTAATGGTTTATGACACTGAAATGTCGTGTATGCAGCCAATCTGTGTTTATTGTATAGATAATCTGTCAATATAGTAAAACAGTTGTAATAATCTAAAAGCTCTTGATAGGAGAAGCTGTAATTGCTGACAAACTAAACACTTAAATGCCCATATAGCTGCTTTGGTGTTATTAATCATGAATTAAATATTGAATAGGGGGTCTTAGTTTTACCAAAATGAGAAGTTAACTTTGTTGCTCAAACTGCTGAGTTGACAGTGAAATTACGAGTAAGACGGGCGCCTTCATATTTTTCATTTGACAGTCTGACATGTTTGATCGATGAGCATCATCGGGTTTTATTTTCTCCCTTGTCAAAAATCTGTTCATCTTGTGCACTTAATTTGATTTTGCTGTCTGAGTAAATCTTGCTAACCTGCACTGCTAGCATTAGTGCAGCCTTATTACTGCTCCCAGATGAACCCTTTTTAATTCGGTGTTCGCGTTCCACATCTGTCCTCTCCCAACCACATGCACTGACTCTGCACTACCAGTTTGGAAACCTCTGGATTAGATCATTTTTTTATGAATCATTCAGTGTATAAAATAGTAAAGAAATTACTCATCACAGTTTCCCAGAGCCCAAAGGGACGTCACTGAGCTAAACGTCTGAGCAAGCAGAGGATCATTAGTGTTTTAAATTGATAAATAAATACAGTGTCAGCAAATCCAAACTTAACCGACAGCAGCTATAGCCTGGTTTCCAGAGCTCCGCCGTGTCCAGAGACCATTAAACCCACCAGCGACCACACTGTGGCGCTGGCTGACATGTACTTCATCACCGTGAACACACATGGAAGCAGGGTTTCTGTGGCTCCTTAAAAAGTCTCAAATCTAATCATCTGAATTTTAGGCCTTAATAAGGTCTTAAATACGATTTTGAAAGGTCTTAAAAATTGATTGTGCTTTTACATCTGTTCGTTATTATTCATTTATCAGTGCCTGAGCAGGTTGCATGTGTTATTGAAGTCAGAGTGCTGCACAGTCAGTGCACCGCTGGCAGTGACTGCAAGTGGTGGGTCAGTGGAGTTGGTACGATTTGGGTGTGAGGACATAGGCTGTTAGGTGCTTTTTCAAGCCATGAATGTAAAAATAAATTTGAATTTGTGATTGCAGCTACATAGTGTGTAAAAATGTCAACCTTTGGGGGATTTGCACCCTGGATGTAGGTTTTAAATTGCATTCAGAGTTGTCTAAAAAGGTCTTTAAAAGTCTTAAACTTGATGAAACCCTGTGCAGTTTATTCTGACTCGGCCCTACATCCTCCATCCTGCTGCCAGAAATGTGGATTCATCCGCCGCTGAAAATGATCCCCAGTAAATCTCCCCATTTCTTTGACGGAAACCATAGAGACCAGTGAAAATTCCACTTTGTAAATGAAACCATATATTTGTGAGTGCTTTAAAAGATTGACTACTTTGGTAGGAACCAGTGGAGCTGACAGCCCCAGACAGGGTAGAGAAGCAGAGGACAACTGTTGGTTTGGGCCTTTTCATGAGATTTTTGGACATTAACAAAAATATGGAGTAAGGCCAACCTTCCCTTTTAAACAATGGATTATTAAGGTCTAATTGGTTAATCAGTGGGATCAGATTCCACTGTGTAATCTGTGGTTTTGTGCGATTGTATGAACCCTGTCACATTATGCCATTTACTCTTGTCTTACTGTTGTGTCCTGACTATCTCATCTACTTATTCCAGTCCACCTCTCAGTCGCTGTCACATCACGTCATGTCTTCAGGCTGTTGAACTGCTGAACTGGGAATTTTCTGGTTTCCAGTCAAATCGTTTATCAACTAATCTTCTGCCTAATCCGCCTCCTCACTCTGTTCACTCCCTGTGTTATCAGACACATCACATATGACTTAATTTGTCAATTTAATCTTTTCCTGAGGTTACTAAATTAAATTCATTATTTGGATTAAATTCAACTCACCGGTTTTACTGATAGAAGCAGAAGTTGAGGTGCTGCCTACAGCAATTACAAGTTGATGAAAGCCACTGCCTTATCAGAATATTTAAAGTTATTTCCTGAGGGGAGCATGGTGATGGCAGAGAGAGTCATCCTCACACCTTGTCAGCTTTACTGATGCTGAACATGTTCCCTTCCTGTAGGTCTTGACCCCAGAGGAGCTGACTAAAGCCCAGAGGTCTGTCGCCTTTGGCTGCATCAAATACGCCGACCTCTCCCACAACCGCATCAACGACTACATCTTCTCGTTTGACAAGATGCTGGATGACAGGGGCAACACGGCGGCGTACCTCCTCTACGCCTTCACTCGCATCAGGTGAGAGCTCGCTACAGCGTTGCACCTGGACACACCTGCTTCTGCACTAAGACTCAACTGTTCAGCTTTTCCACCACGTGTTTTGTAAGCTGAGCTTCCAGCCAGTGTAAAGCAGTTATGGATCAGACGTATCAGGAGTTAAATATCTCAACTATCACTGGATGAATCATCATTTGCGAGCCCCAGAGAACGCTTTTGATTTTACAGAGTAGCAGTCGACCGATATTTTAATGGTCAATACCAATCTTTAGAGAGCAGGGAGGCCGATGTGGTGTGTAATGCAGGTATCATGTTGTTTGTCTTTTTGCATCAGATCAAATAAAACAGTTTAATAAGAAATAATACAGTTTTGCTTTACACTACATTATGATAATATTTGAATTAATTAAAGAGGATTGTCTGTTTGCTACGCTCTGCACTGCCATTATTTTAAAATTTAAAAAAAACCACAAGAAATCAAAAAACTAAAACTTTGTAAAAAATAAAATACTGACAGGTCCACCTGCAGATGTCTGCAGACATCTGTTGTTAACTGGCCTTGATAAACCCATTTAGTTGTGCAGGCAAAATAAAGCTTTGTGCTTTCTGAGAAATGAATCCTGACCTTTTGCAGCGCAGGGCCTGTTAATGTCTAAATCACACAGATTTGTCAACCAATTTATTTGCACATTGTTGGTGCAAGCAAAAGAGACAGTTTGTTTAATTTATTGTCAGGTTAAAGGCCTTAGCACACATCAGATAAGACAGCTGTGAGTGTTGTAAATGGCTGGTGAGCCCTCACAAGAATGTAATATTCAAATTCAAGACTTCCTGTTTGTTTTCTGGCTTTTTCACCAGTGTGAGTGACTCGTGTTCTGTGTGGTACTGACAAGTCTGTGCGCCAACCAAATGCGATGGCCAGCAGCAATAAAAAAACAATAGGTGTCACCATGGGAAACGAGGAGCTTTACAGCCACACGGGTCTCCTCGCACTGATGCGAAGTGTTGCTTTTACTGTTGCATCATAGCAGATCTGACGTTTCAGCTATGTGTAATGTCATTTTATTGAAACTTTGATACAGTATGAGATGTTGAGGTTAAATGACTCGGTTGTTTGTCTAATTTGTTAATCAAATCAGAGCTCGACCGCTCACTGTGGCTGAAAATTAAATTGAGTTCCTCAGAGACATTTCTCCCTCATTAATGTCTCTCCTCCACTCTGTCCTGCCAGAGTGCCTCCCACCGCTATCAGATCAGCCTCTCTGGCCCTGGCTGCCAAGGATTTGTGGAAGCATTTCCAGCCAGTGAGACCCAATTTATCCTCACCCCTTATCCCCTGTATTGAGTGAGCATCTCCTGGCTGCAGAGCGCTTCATAGATCCCCTTCCCCTGGGGCTTCCCTGGAGGTGTTAGAGCTGGGGTGGCAGAGCCCTGGCCAAGACTGACCTCCACTCTGTCCTTTAAACCCCAGCAGCGTCCTCTCCTCCCATTCAGGATCACACTCTGGTTCAGGAATCTCACAGTCTTGTTTCCACCTGCAGCCATCACACAAGGTGAAGAGTGAAAGCAGGACTGCTGGCGTTTTTCATTCGGCCCTGTTCTAATTGGCTGGGTGTGAATATGAGTCGCCATCTCCAGCCAATCAGAGTAGGTGCTTGTGAATAATGTACATTCAATGTTAATATTCTGAAGCAGCCTGGGCTGTTTGTAGAATATTGGCCTGATCCTGTGATGCTCTGTTTCTGTTGTTATAGTACTTTTGATAAGACAGACACAGGAGAAGTCAGCCTTGTTTGTTTTTGTTTTCTGCTTTGAACTTTTGTCCTAATCTTGTTTTCCTGCCCTTGAAAAGACTCTGTGTGATCCTGACTGCGGTTAATGCGTGAAACATGCTGTGTACTAACGGTAGTGTCGACGTCCCACAGGTCCATCACTCGCTTGGCTAACATCGACGAGGCCATACTGAGGAAAGCGGCAGAGACCACCGAGGTCCTCCTGGATCACGAGAAGGAGTGGAAGCTGGGGAAGTGCATCCTGCGCTTCCCTGAGATCCTGCAGAAGATCCTGGAAGACCTGCTGCTCCACACGCTGTGTGACTATCTGTATGAGCTCGCCACCACCTTCACTGAGTTCTATGACAGCTGCTACTGCGTGGAGAAGGACAGACAGACAGGTACGCTGGGTGGAGGTGGATAGATCCTGTTTTCTTCACAGGGAGGTCAGAGTCGGCTCTGTACCGCTCTCGTCTGTGCTTTCCAATCCATCTGTTTTTACGTGCTTTTTAAACTTGCACTTGACTGGACTACAGGGCGTTCCCAGGCCAGATGAGGTGTATAATCCCTCCAGTATGTTCTGGGTCTGCCCCAGGGTCTCCTACAAGTTGGATGTGCCTTGAAGGTGCCTGGGAGGTGTCCTGATCAGATGCCTAAACCACCCTCAACTGGCTCCTTTTGACGTGAAGGAGCAGGAGCTCCCTCCCAGTGTCTGAACTCCTCAGCCTTTCATATCAAAGTCAAAGGTGCCAAAAGTAAACAGGAGCAGAAACTCTCATCGTTCTGCTCTGGATGGACGTCAGCCAGTTAACAGGAAGTCTCCATCTGAAGACCTGTCTGAGCGCTGTCGGCCCTCCACTTGTTGCTGTTAGCATTTTACCCCTGCAGCACACTGAAGTGCTAACACTTGAGGCTCAGAGCTGTTTAATTATGCTAATGCTCAGTTAGCCGCAGCAGCTGGAGGTTATCATTTTAAGTGTACAGTTCAGACTGATGCAATGTGTGTGTGAATAGAGAAAGTTCCATTGACACACTGTGCACGTGTCCATGCTTCAGAGGGAAGGTGTAAATGGTAGAAAAAACACAAGCACATAATCATCCAAACAGACCAGAGAAGCCCAACTGTAGCTTTGTCTTTCACTCTGCAGCTCCCAGGTACGCCGCACCCTATGACCACAAGTATGCGGATGCCCCTGTGAGTGTTTGGCAGCAACAAAGCACAGTCAGCTGACATGTCGAAGGCTCTCAGGTGAATCCTGACCTCAAAAAGGCCTTGGGTGGACGTGGCTTTATCTTGTGTCTTATAGTTGCACTGGATAAAAACTTTGGGATGGATGTGCATTAGTGTCATTGTTTAGTTTTACGTTCACATTTATTCTGTCTTGTCACTAAAGCGCTTTCACTCACATCGATCTGTATGAAAGGTGCTATTGAAATTGAGTTTTGAGCAAATAATCACAGGTAAAAGCTAATCCATCAGACGGTGATGACACTTAAACTGGAGGTGTCGGCGGAGCGCGTCTCTCAGCGGCACTCAGCCGTCCTCCTATTTGTGTAAATTACAGCTACATTTTGCTCTCTGTCGACGTTCATGCCCCTTTAACGGCCTGTCTGCTTAATGCAACCTCTGCTGCTCATTACGGATTTAATCTCTATTGGATTTCCGCTTCGTGTAGCAATTTGGCCTGATGGGGTGGACGGTCTTGGATGGTGCATGAGGATGCAGATGTCCAGGTCACTGATGTTCATTTAACGCTGCTGCTGCTGCTGCTGTGTGATGGTAGCATCATTAAACATGCCCTTTGACCTCCTGCTGTTTGTTGCTCTGTCTGTTTCCGTCTCTCCCATCTGCATGTCTTCATTAGTCATTAGTCTGTTTTCTTCTCTCCTCCTTTCAGGTGCTTTTCTCTTCGTGCCTCTCCACCTCTGTTTACTCTCCTGCTGCTTTTCCTTTCCTTCCTCTCTGTTACTTGTGTCTCTTGCATCTAATTTTCCATCTGAGTATATGTTTTAAGTGTCTTGCAGCAAGAGTATGTATGCCTACAACCATAACAAGCCCTCTGTTGTAACTGTAAACCTTTGTCTACACTGTGGCTCAGTGCAACAAGATTCTTTTGTGGAACTTATACCTTCGTTTCCACTGGAGGAACCAGGGTCAAACTTTAGTCCCACTCTCCCAAAAATCCACAGTTGAGGGGTTAGTACTTTTTCCAAGAGTTCTTGGGGTGAGGCCTGCAGTGCTGAGCATCGCTGACTGGTCAAATACTTAAAAAAAAAGTTAAATGTTCCTGCTCTGTGTCTTTGTCCAGGTGAGGTGGTCAAAGTGAACATGTGGAGGATGCTGCTGTGCGAGGCCACGGCGGCCATCATGGCCAAAGGCTTTGACATCCTGGGGATCAACCCTGTCGAGAGGATGTGACGACACTGAGATCCCACCTGCCTGCATCCAAACCCAGCAGACGCCACAACGGGAGGAGGAGAAGCAAAGACAAACTAAAGACTGTGAGTCTTGTTTACTCAAGTCATAGCCACAAAGCACTGGACTTGAACAGTTATTGTGTTAAAAAAAGTTATTCTCTCCATTCTGGGAGGAAAGAAACATGTTCAGTTGTCGCCTCATACCATGGAGCTTTTTTTTAATTAAAGGACCCTTATGAAATCAAAATAACTGCTGTCATTTCTAAACTGTAGAGTTTACAGCCAAATTCTTCTTGCTTCTGTAAAACAGCTGTGAAACCTTAGATATGTGAACACAAACGTGCACATTTCCACAGTAAAACAGGTGCTGAACTGGCCTGAGAGCCACTTCCTCGTGAGCTGGATTAAATAACTCTCCCTGCTGATCGAGTGTCTCTGTGTTGCACCCGACCTTAACTGAAGCGTAGTCACATGGACGATATGTTTTCAGTCAGATTGAAATTGTTCTGAATAGAGATCAGAGATAACTGTTCAGATGGACGCTGATCTGATCTGTTCCATTTTAATACTGTTGTTTAACTCGTGTTACATCATCAGAAACGTTCACCCTCTTACTTGTTCCAAAAAAATGACTTTTAATTTTATTTAGTTAATGTTAGCACAACTGTGTTGCTGAAATGTTACCAGCAACTTTTAAGGTGGAATGTTTTCTTGCATGTTACTCAGGGTGTGAGTAGACGCTGTGACTCAGTCAACGCACCTCCGTTTGTTTTTCCTGGTTCGCCTGCAGGACGCAGCTTCACTGATGATCGGCTCTTCACGCCCTCACAAAAATTTCTGTGAATATCAGTGGGATATTCTTTGTCCTCACTTGGAGGAAAAAAGCAGTGGTGGAAGAAGTACTCAGATCCTTTACTCAAGTAAAAGTAGCAATACAACAGTGTAAAAATACTCTCAGAAGTAAATGTCCTGCATTCGAAAATTTAAGTAAAAGTACAAAAGTATTAGCATCAAAACATACTTAAAGTGATTAAAGTACTCATTATGCAGAATGGTGTGAGGTCTTATAATTACTGTAGTTTTGTATTATCTGATTTTGAAAACTAACTGGTAACTAAAGTAAAACATTTTTCTCTAAAATGTAGTGAAGTCAAAGTATGAGGTAACAGAAAATGAAAATACTTAAGTACATAAACCTTAAAATTGTATTTAAGTACAGTACTTGAGTAAATGTACTTACAAAAAAGGGAAGAAGAAGAGAAAAAAAGACGCGCGAAGCGGGCGGAGGAGTGGATAATAGCGTGCTCCAGCAGCACTACCCCCATGCTGCCTCCACGTTTCTGTCTCTCCGGGATGTCATGTAACGTTGCCCCCACGTGGGGCAGACATGCAGGAAGGATGTCTTTATTCCAGCAGAGAGAAACGATGGGATCAGTGTTTATTTGAATTGTTCTGTTGTTCCGATTCAGTTCAGTTGAGTTTTTTTGTATAGCCCCAAATCACAACAGAAATCGTGGTCAGTTCTGGACCTCATAGTCCATCCATCCATTTTCCTCCGCTTATCCGGGACCGGGTCGCGGGGGCAGCAGTCTAAGCAAAGATGCCCAGACTTCCCTCTCTCCAGACACTTC